GAAATCCATCCACGGGTCCTGAAGGAGCTGGTGAATGAAGTTGCTCGGCCACCATCCATCATGTTTGAAAAATCATGGCAGTCAGGTGAAGTTCCGGATGACTGGAAGAAGGGAAATGTAACCCCCTTTTTCAAGAAGGGGAAGGTGGAAGACCCGAGGAACTACAGACCAGTCAGTCTCACCTCTGTGCCCGGCAAAATCTTGGAGCAGATACTCCTGGAAAGCATGCTGAGGCACATGAAAAACAGCGAGGTAGTGCCCATTTACAAACCCCCAAATTGGCAAAGCTTTTCAATACAACTAAAGCTCTGTAAAACCCTGCAATCTGGGGCTAGAGAGAAAACACATCCTAAGCCATTGTGCACAGAGAGGGGGAAAAAAGGGAAATCCAGCAGTTACATTTCTTTTTGGCAGCAGTTGTCCAGCCAAACCAGCAAGTATACAGCTCCTGAGGAGCAGCAGCCCATGCTGTCACTTGCACACTGGGGTGCATGGAAATCTGGGGAAGGAAGGATTTGGGTAACAAAGGGTAACTCCTGAGCAAACCAAGCTTCATCAGTTCTGCTACTTGTGCTTTGGTTTTTAGACCAGACATTAATCTCCGGTCCCACTTTCATTAGTATGAACAATCCAGTGAACACAGCAACAACACGGCAGTCAAGTCACCTGCTTCAGCGGATCAAATCCCTAGACATTTTATGAGGCAAAGGAAATTCATTATGGTATGTTTTTCAAATGAGTCTATGAGCAGACCTGAGGGGAAAAAAAAATTGGTATTTCGGAGCTAACTCCTACTAGCTTAAAAGGAAGCAGGATTTCAGCCTCTGTGCCGTGACCCTCCGTTGTTCAGTTCTGAGCCTACAGCCTGCCTCCAGAGCCCCAGCCTTCAAATCTAGGCCCATGAAAATGAACATCTCACCCAAGTGAAACTGCCAGCACAGCAGCGACAGGAGACAGCAGCTCTGTATCATCCAACATAGCAGATCTGAGCCTGAACCTTCCTTCACAGACACAAACAACTGGTAGAGCCAGCTACATAGCTGGAACAAGTTCCATCCTAAGTGAACAAAACATACTCTTCCACACAACAGCGTACAGGAGGACAGCGTGGCTGGAACAGCTTTCTGAAAGCAACCCATTGCCATTTCATTGCTCAAACTAAAACCGCAAGTCATGAAAATAATCAGTCCAATGCATTCTCAGCTGAACAGTAAGTAGCATCACTACTAGCTCAGCTCTTCACTAGTTTTCAAAAGTCCTTTGGACTTTCTGACCTTAGACCCAGTTTTGGCACAGTTCAGCGCAGTATGTAATGACAACCACCCCTCTACCATCCCTTCTTACATTGCCAGAGACCAAAATGAGACAGAATCAAAGAATCATAGAATAATTAGGGTTGGAAGGGACCTTAAGACCATATAGTTCCAACCCCCCTGCCATGGGCAGGGACACCACACACTAAACTATGTCGTTCAAGGCTTTGTCCAACCTGGTCTTGAACACCACCAGGGTTGGAGCATTCAAAGAATGAAAACACTGAAATGACAGGTCAGCAGCCATGAACAAGGACTCAGGCACTCATGGTTATCAAATTGAGTTGCTCAATCAACCAGAGCTCTGTTTTGAAAGCAGACAACACAGAAGACGAGCTGAAAATGGGAAATCATGCTGTAAAATTATGAGTCCTCAGACTATTTAAGCACCATTACACTCTTCAGTTATGTCTTGACTCAGCCTACAAAGCGTCACTTCCAGCAGCACATCTCTGTCCTAAACTTGAAGTCAGCAACTTCACAAACATTTCATGCCTTGTATATTTAGCAATCATCACAAACAAAAGAAGCCTGGACTTCGAGTTCATGGCTCTGTGAAATCTCCTCAAAAAAAATCATTATTGGTTTTGTTAGCAAGGATTTGACTCAAGGTACAGAAAAAAAACCACAAACTCACATGGTGCATGGAACATCACTAGCACAGATGAATGATCTTTTATAAACTTGTCGAAGTCCTCATCAGTCAGGTGATAAACTACATTTTCTTCATCTGCCCAGGGAGTCTCTGGTGCCTGTGGCTGAGGTGCCTGTGGACTACAAGAAAAACAGACGCAGCTTAAAAGCAGCTCTGGTGCTAAGCAATCATTTTGGTAAGTCGGACTGCAAGGAACTACTTTGTGCAGATGTCCAGATATGTACGACCCACTAACCCTACTGAACAGCTTCCATAATTTTACCCACCCAGAACTCATAAGCACTGAAACATAGATAAAACCGGAGGAGGAATAAAAAAATTCCACAAGAAGCTCAAGAGGCCAGGTCAGCAATGGAAGGGATGGAGCGAGTTGATAACCAGACTGCCTGGTTATTACATTACAGAAATCAGATGCATTTTTTGTTACTATTTTACCCTCCTCAGCAGGATGCTCCCTTTCTCACAGCATTCACACTCGGTAGCTCACAGGTGCAATGGCTAGTGACAGAAAAAGTAGTGAGCAGAAAGAGCCTATCAACCAGTCACCCTGAATACTGACAGCATGGTTACGTCTGACAGGGAAAGAAGGAGGTGCAGTGCTGGGACCATGAGCTGGCTACACAGATTGTTTCCCCAGGAGTATATGGTTTTACCCTAAAACAACCCTGTAACCTGAAGCATCTTTATATCCTCACTCTGCACTGGGCTTGTAGACCTAACACTGCAAAGCCACTCAACTGCATGGTTAATCTTAGAGTGACAGGTTCTACCGGCTTCATTATGATTGCATATGAGTTTAACCACCTTTGACGGATTAGAGCCAGAGAGACTGCTCAAAGACATGGTGGCAAATCTGGAAACTGAATCTAAGCTCCTCTGGGCCAGTTCAGTGCTCATCATCCCACTAAACAATTGTTCCTGGCTTTTATTAATGTACATTAAAAAGAGAATTTGGCAGACATGAACTAAACTATACTAATTGACATTTATTTATTAAAGCAGTGTTCATATAAAGGACACCCAAACACACAAACATTTGGAGCCAGACTTGGAAGCTATTACTACAACTGGCAAGGATAAAATGAGTTCCAAATACCCCCCAAAATTCCCCGAATTCTTTGGCAAAGTACAAATCTGGATGTGACCCCACCTCTGGTGAAAGCAGATTTACTGTTTTTATTAGCATGTATTATTGTGTTAGCTGCCTGGCACAAAGAATGGCAAACGGATGATAACTCATTTATCCTGCCTTGCTCATTTCTAGGCTGAAAGCCTAGTTCGACAGAAAAAGCAGTAGAGAGATATACAGATTCAGAGAGCAAATTCTGTTGATATAAGCAATGGGTATGATCCAAGAACATTAAGCAATCCATGCAAAACTGTGATGAACACCTCTGCTGCTGATAAACGAACCAAGAAACAAACATCAAAGCAAAGATCAGAGCTGCACTCATCCAAGCAGCTGGAAAAAAAAAAGGAGGCAGGTCTCCATCCACAAGAGTTTACTTTCTAAAGGATCAGCAGATTATCATTTTGCTTGTTGCTAAGATTATAAAAGAGCAATAATCTGCAGATATCCTGGCAGAGTGAAGGCTTTCCAGAAAACACCATGACACTTAATGCATCTGGAAGGGGAGTTGGGTTGAGTAGGCAGAGCATGGTGAAAATGGACACAGTGGCTACAAAGCACTTGGAGAACACTGTGTTTAGCAGGGCCTGGCATGAGCTATATCAGTAAGGAATTAATAAAGCAGGGCACAGGATATTTATTCAAATGGCCCAATGTAAAATGCTATGTGTGCTACTAAGTCTGCACAGGAGTTGGTAAGAAGCACCTCAAGGCCTGGAGGCAGCAACAAGCAAAATCTAAACTGTCATTTAAAACTGAGACGAGACACACCCAATGCCTAAAGACCAAAAATAGGATGACAGAAGAGTTAGGAAGAGTTATTAAGAGCTACTTCAATTAAGAACAGAGAACGAGTTCTTGATCCGAGTAGCTGGTGCTAAGGAAAGGCCTGAGAGAAGTCCATAAAAAAGCGAAACAAGCTCAGCAGCTAATTGAAAGCAGCAAGAAGCTGTCTGGCTTGCCTACCATCCAGGCTGATACAGCTGTGTATCACATTTCTTAAGAATTAAAAAAAAGAATTGAGGTATGTACAAGATAGCATCTCTCATGTTAATGCTGTGCTGGAGTAAGGCTGTATGATGGTTTCCCTCTATCACCTCATGAAAACATCTGAAACGCCATAAAATAGTAGCCAGTGCCTATCAGGAAGATAAGAGAGTTTAAGTACCTGTAAGGCTGATGCATTAGCGCGCTTCAGTGTAAGAAGCACCTTCAGTAAGTAGTAAAAGAAAAGGTGTTGGAGCCCTCCACGCTAGCAGCTCTTGTTCTGAGAACATCATGAAAAACATCAATTCAATAATTTAAATAATTCTAACCTTTATTAAGTTATATCATGTCCTCCTCCCAAAAACAGTGTAGATCAACCACTTTCAGCACTTCACCAGTAACATTTAGAGGAGAAAAAACAGAGAAGGGGGAGAAGGAAGAGAAAACAGCTACTTTTGTGCAGTGTGCACCTAGTGTCCACAAAAAATAGGTCATTTAATAAGGCTCAATGACTGCTGGATTCTCTTTCGAGAATCTATGATGACAGCACATGCATGCACAGTATAAAAATGCATTGGCTTTCCTCACCATATACACTCTGGCACTGCCGTGCCCCTGCTTTGCAGAGCAACGTCTTGCATCAGAGTCACTTCCTAAAACAATTTTAATATTAGACTATTCTGAAATACAGCCTATCCACAATACAGCTATCTAATTACACTCTGACTTCCCTAAAGCCCTTGCCACACCATTTGACTACTTGTACTGTACATTCCTTAGAGTAATAAAGTATTATGCACGTAGCACATTTACGCCATATATGCTTTTAACTGCAACATAAAATTACTGGCAAAATTCAAGTATGCATAATTTCTCAACGTGGTTTCCTTAAAACTTCTATTTATTATAAAAACAGGGGCAAGAAGGCTACTGCTCAGATCATCTTTTGGGAAACATTAATAAGCATGCACAAACACTAAGTGAGGACAAACAGCTGTCTTTAGCTTTGGACTACTGAAATACCAACCAAAGCCCACAGTGGCTTATTAGCAGAGATTATCATTGGGAAGAGCTTGCAGCTGTTCTGCTTTGCCTCCAGTAGCTGTATTCACTTGCTGTCAGAGCACTGATATAAAGGCACTGCATGTTACAGGGATTATCCGGATATTATGTGGGCAGACGGGGGGAAAAAAACCACCCAAAACATCTAATGTTTCACATATGGTAGCCAAGAGATAACCACAGCCTTGCAAAACTGAAAAGCATAATAAAGTTCAGGTGATGAAGTCATATCCTTGCTTCAAGGGCTGATCATCATCTCAGCATTGCTGGAGTTACCATCTTGATAATTCATATCTGAAGGTTTAATGAACTAAATGAGGCTTAAAGACTACACCTAAATTCCTCCTCTTTGATCCACTGGGCACTACTTGCCTGCAGTGCTTGTACCTCCTGACGCTAACGGGAACACTGATGTCGCTTCACTCATGGTTTCCCAGTCCTGAAGCACCTAGCCTACCACTGCTGAAGACCTTGCACTACTTGCAATCATACACGTCTCCAGCACAGCCCCACTGGTACACATTTATTCTGAGCCAATTTTGCTAAGCCACATTATAACAATAGTTTGCAACTGTCTATTTCTTCCCATGTGTTTGTTTCCTTTTACTAGTTTAATTTCAAGATTATTTCTGTGGCTGCAGCAAACAAAGCAGGGTTACAAAGATGACAATGCCCAAGAGGGAGGGCTAACTGCTAACAGTACTTCTCCATCATCAGCCTATCTGAGCTCTCTCCAGGTGCTCTGCCAGCTTCATTGGCATTGTGCTGATTTGCACCAGCTGAAGAGCAGCTATACACACTTACACACTTTTTCCATTTCTCTCTCTCAACTGCTAGTCCTGTAAGATCATTCAGCCCCAAAAATATTTACGACTGCAAATAGCTCTCTTTAGATGGAACAAGATGCTTTCAACATCACTTCATGTCATGACAGGAAACACAGACATGGTAAAAATGACTAGCAATCCAGGGTGCCTTGATCTCTGGTTTGTCTCTGCAAGACATTTTAAAGGCTCCAGCTAAGAACCAATGAGAACTGCATACTTAGGATACACAGTTTCAATAAAACAACAGTCAAATCTTTTGCAGGTTATCAAGTTCAGGAACTCAAGATCACTGGAAATTTAAGCTGGTATTTTTGATGAAGCTGAGATCTGTGTAAGTCTTGGGTTCAGGACATGTATGTGCGTTTATTTTGGTCCAGAGTCCCCTACTACAAACAAAATGCAATTGTGAAATGCAAGGCATGCATGCTAAAAACCAAACATTAGGCAATCTCTCTGTACCAGTTTAGCCAATCTCAGCAGGGTAGTTTTGTTTGCTCTTCTGAGCGGAGGGAATGAGGGAGAGATAGGTTCCTAAACCATTACATTCTGTAAATAATGAAAAGTACATAAAAGGTGGAGTGCATGAAGTTCAATGCCTTACTTTTTCAGCCACTCTGCTATATCTGCCGCAGTAGCACCATAGTTCTCAAAGTGGAACAGGAACTTTCCTTTCCTGTTAAAACAACAAAATAAGGTTTAGTCCTTGCCCTGGAAGGTAAGAATGTGCAATTATAGTTGAGTGTATGATTTCTAAAGCAGTAGCAAACCATAACTGACTCAAAATAGCAGACTGTAGGATATCCCCGGACATTGTATTCTTCCTTTATCCTTTCAAATTCTGCAGAGTAAACATTCATCCCCGCAAGAACCTGAAAAAAACAGCATAATCACATTGAGTCTTACAATACAGCAGGAACATGACAACTTTTTTAAAGAGTTAAGTAAAAACAACTAAGCTCTGGGCAGATTCTGATTTCAGTCATACTGCAGTAAAGCAAAGGGATCTCTGTAAAAGGAGGTGAAGTTTTTTCTGATTTTGTGCAAAGGGGAACAGAACAGTATTTGAGTCTAGTCCACAAAAAGCACACACTAATCAGATTGTCATCTCCTCCTTGCTCTGGAAGTGCCTCCGTTTCTTTTATTCACCCACTAACAGAAATACCTCAAGGGAATTCTCTTAATCACACTACTTGTGCTCATCTTTGTAGTTAGATTTTTTTCCTGCTTCTGCAAGTACACAGCTTAGTTTGTAGCCAAACACTAGCTAGGACACAAGAAGTTCCACCCTCACCTCTGGCTTCTACTCCAGTGACGAATTTACAATCCCAGCTAATGTCTGGAAAGCTCTAGTGAACCAAGCACTGGTGCTGCTCTAATTCAAAAATGCACTTACTGAACGACAAGGGGGAATCAGCATTACTTTGATGTGAAAGTAAAACATGACCTATTTCCATGAGCCCAGGAAATACGGCACTTATATTCTTTAAATATGTTAACTTACCTGACTGGTATGGTATAATGAGAGTTAAGAATTAATTTTGTACTACAGATACCAAAAGGGAGGCACAGAAGCACAGCAGCTTTTCAAACTAGCAAGTGAAACAAAAAGCCTCTCCTTCCCTTTTCTTACCTCTATCCCAGCCCATCCTCCACCTCAAGAGCTCTTGACCCTGAGCTTGAGGCCCAGGGTTCCTGTGACTTACCCTGTTCCTTGTCCAACTGTCTTCCAGAAATTTCTGACCTGAAAATTTGAAGATGGGACTGATTCTGCATTTTTGTGGGTGTGGGATTCACTCAGAGGTCATTCTGCTGTCAAACCTGCAACCAGTGAGTTGCTGAGATACCACTTCATGATTAACTTAAATTTAATGGCATTGACAGCTTAAATCTTTTTAGCAGCAGGGTCTTAATCTATACCCCTCCTCCTTCCCCCCTCTAAAATCAGGATTTTCTCCTTCCAGCTGAAATACTACATCAGAATTTAATACCATGTTCCTGCAAACTGCGCAGACCAACCAAATGTGCTCAGAGGCAGCACGAAATAAATCTTAAAGCAGAAAATCCTCGTTTGAAGGTCAACCTTTTCTAAGAATGTACTGGAAAGTCACAAAAAGGTACTTTGTTTTCTCTCCCCTATCCTGAGAAAGGATAAAGGAAAAGTAATTGAGAAAAGTACAGAAATAAGGCTTATACTCGGTGGCCAAGTCTCTTAATTTGAATTTTCCTTGTAGTTCCAACAACCAGATTGACTTAATTCATATAAAGAGATTATCTAGACCCAATTCTCCCCGTCCCCTATCCTCTATGTCACCACTTACAGGTAGGTAAATGCAACAGGATCAAGACACAGTGGTTGCTTTATAAAGCAAGAACCAGCTTCGTTAACTAATTCTCTCATAAACACCAGTCCCCCAGATTTCACATTTGCCACAATCTCTCAGAGGATCTCCTAGATCTTAAATGGGCATTCCCAGGCATTTCAGATACTCTGCTACAATTTCACTGGGTCCACCAAGCCTGTGGTGATTGATAAGTTAGTGACTTGGATTCATTCTGGTGTTCATATACCATATGAACCATAATTAGCAAAAAGCCTATTAGAATGGGATTTGTTTTTAATGACAAAAGTAACAGCTTTAGCTGGCCTATAATCACAAAATTACCTACTATCAGGCTGTATGGGACCATCAAAAGACACCTACTACCCAAAGCCAGGATCCTCCTTGTATACCTAAGCTGCTCCTGCCAGATGTTCAGCTAATGTGCTTTTAGCAAATGACTGAGTGACTCTGACTTCGATTTAAGTCCATTACCTCTTGTAAGAGCCACAGCAGACACGAAGATCAGTTTATTCCTTTCACCTCTGTAGGGACATTTGACATATTTCAACACTTACCTCCTCTCCACCAAGCTACCTATAACCTGAACCAACTCTGAACCTTTCCTAGCTGGGCATGTCTCTGGACTTCTGACCATCCCTGTTGTACTATGACCACTCCTTTGCTTCTGAGTTTTCTTGACAGGATTGCTCCAAAATTGGTACCTCACACCACCACTTGAAGCCTTCCTAGAGCCAAACTTAACAAACAGATTAAACAAAGGCTTCTTTTATTTGACATCTGAAGTTAAGTGTAGGAACTTTATGCTTCTGAAGTCTCATGTTTTTACCAGAGAAAAGACAAACACCAAAAGAGGAAAGCACTTAAGCATGTGCTCAAGCCAATCTTTACAGAGTAAAGCATTCAGGCACACACAAAGTCCATGGGCATTAAGGAGATGCTGAAGTGCTTTGCTGACCACCAGTTCCTCCCTGTATTGGGGTCACAGTGTATCAGTGACAGTCACTTGCCAGAGCCCATCCCACACACAAACCATGGGCATCTCTTGTGCCAAGGATAAAATAAACCACCTTCTTCTGTTTTGGAGCATCTTTTTTGCTTCTGCACTGGGTGTAATGGAACTGCAAGATCTAAACTGAATCTAACACTGAAAATGCCTCCCTGCCTTCCTCTCAGTAACAGTAGTGGGACAAGAAACAACTAGTCCCAAAAGAACTCAGCAACCAGCAACAGGTACTGTTCCCCTTTTCATTTTTATGACATATTAAATAGGCAATACTGTACTTCATTTTCCTGATATATAATAGCAATAATGGCTTTTGAGCCTAGCACATCCTGACAGCTAATGGCAGGTCAGATTAAAAGGCGAAACCTTCAGCTCATCCAAACCAATCATGAACTTTCCAGCAAAGTCTGATCCAGAGGTCAACATCACTCTAAGATACCCCATGGCTAATTTATCATAGGGACAGGACAGTTAGCTGCAGAAATGGCAAACTGTGTACACATCCCACTCAGGAAGCTAATTAGGTCAAATTTAGACAATAAGGCTGATTTTTGTGAAAGACACGGGTGGCAGTGGCATAACTGGACTTTCCTCTGAACCGATCCTGCACTAAAAACATTTCTCTGCAAAAAGCACCCCTGACCCAAGCTGCATCAAGCATAGGCACTGCTACTCTCAGAGCAGTGCCACAGCCCTGTCACTCAGCTGTGAAGGATTAGTCTGGATCTACAGAAACCATTTCCAAGTGAGGAAGGAAATAATCAAACTAGAACATATCTGGAGCTTAAATTCTCTGGTTTGAATTTAATAAAATGAACTGCAGATGGACAAGGAAGAGATAACTGCAGGAGAACAGAGTGCTCTGCAGCACGCCTTCTCTCTGGCACTACCTTTGTAGGCGACTCTTTAAATTCCAAATTCCCACCCACCCCACGCCTCATAATGTACCCACTGTACAAGGCAGGAGTGCTTTCCCCAAGACTGCACTGCATGCTCCACCGAGGGGAGATGGCATCAGTGCTGCCTCGCTAGACAAACACGCTCTTGAAAATATCTTCAAGGGTTGTACTGTGTCCTAAATAAAACTGAACAACTCCCACCCATTTCAGCCCTAAGCAAACAAAGATTTAGAGGAAACGCTTCTGAAAAACAACTATTTGGGAGAATGTGAGGGAGTCTGACAACACTTAGTGTTTATAAGCAGCAATGGCCAGAGCTGTCCTAGCAATAAACCACAGTGCTTCATCTTTTCCGCATCACACATCAGCACTCCCAAGGAAACTTGCAAACTTGACAGTGAATGATCCAACAGGTAGGATCAGACCAAATCCAGCTAAAGCCATGAAACAACAATCCTATCCGTCACTCATGTATAATTGGCATCATATAAACTATACATTAAGCACATTATAAAACCTTGACTACAGAAGTGCCTTTGACTTGCTTAGGGAGATCAGTAAGTCTTCTTAGTACAAACAGGTAACCAAATTACTGTGACTGCTGTTGATGGATTTTATTATAGTCAAAACTTACTTTCATTTCAATCTGGTATGAATGCTAACTCTGTTGACGGAGCTAAAGTAAAACTGTAAGATTTTATTAATGCTTATGCTTAGTGGCTAGGAGGACGATCAGTAGCTTTTATAGGGAAATTCCGCTCCCATGACACTGTGATTCTCCGCTAAGAAAAGTGGATTAATTATTACTGTAAGGGTATCCATCCCTGACCCTGCTGTAAAACATTAGGCCAAAAAGCTGATCAAACATTTCTTTATCTTTACCAAAATGAGCTCAAAAGGACTGCAAACTCACAAACCAGTGGCTAAACACACCCCTACATATTGTCAGAGCCCATTTTTCCATGGCAAGAACTACACTGGATTAAAGGGCAAGTGAGTTAACACCTCATTCTCCAAAGTTTTAAAAAGAATGAAAAACAAGAGAAAGAATGCTGAAGGGATGTGGACAGAGTCATTAATTTCTGGTTTTGTTTTGGCATGTTTAAAAATTCCCCACTTTGATAAATATTTGTGGTTTTAAATATGCCCCCCCTAAAAAAGTGTTAAAATGATTTTTTATAAATTTAATGTAAATCTTATCTTCTCACTTACATATTTACCCTTGAGTTCTGTGGCTGCCTGCTGATAAGATGGCATCATTCTCTTACAAACACCACACCCTGATAAAAAAAGAAATTGTGTAAGTAATATGCCAACGATTCAGCCTGTTCTACAGGATCTATGTTCCAAAGCATATGAAACAACACATTTTACATTAAAGAAAACAAACAAACAAACAAGCACCAAAATTCATTCTCTGTTTCATTAAATAATTATTAATTTCTAAGGATGTTACTTCTTGTCACATGTTGCATGTTCTTCATGCTATTAATTTTCACACTAATTTCTTATCCCAGTTTTGGAAAGAGTAACACCATTTTGTATTCCTCAGCCTCTATGAAACTCACACATCAAAATTCAATGGAACATACCATGCTTGTGAACTCAAACAAAAAGCTTTGTGCATTTCTGGTCTTTAAGAGATGGGGAGAAGTACTTCTAATTCATTCCAGCTTAACAAGTCTTTGAAATTAACTTCACAAGCACTTCCTAAACACATTATACAGGCATCAGAAGTTAAACACTGCTCTGTTAATTGAGAAGACATAACTCAGAAGAAACAACAATGCTTGTAATATACAATAATGCACTGAAGAAAAGACAAACAGCAAGTGAGGAAGACCACTAGTGTATAGCTGGAGCGTGCTAAGAGCTGTCTGATGACACTCTGGAGTGCTAAGCAGATTAGCAGTACATCATTTTGTAAGCTGCAGGTTTCACCCTTGCCAAATAAAATACGTACATGCACATGGGAAGGGGCAGGAATGTAGACAGCATGAAAGAAAGGAAGCTGTGGCCAAGCACTCCAGATGCTTATTGTGGCAACTCTCGCGTCCACCTTGGGACAACTGTCAACATTTTCGTTCTGGTGAAGAGACAGGTGTTTTGCAAGTATCTTCCAGAAAGGAAGAACAGATTTTGCAGCCACTGGTTTAGGATCACATCAGCATGCCTGGGAAGAACGCCCTTTAATCAGACAAAAGAGAGCTCTTGTTTCTGTGGTTCTTTCCACCTTTCATCTCTCTGCTCAAATTGCCAGTGAGGTTTTTAAATTAGTACTGATCAAAACAACAATTTCTTGGGAGGCATGGACCACTCACTTGAGGCCCACAGAGGTCTTGCAGCCTCATCCAAACCACTGGACAGACATCAAAAGATACGAGTTAACAGCATCTTCTGGAAGCTCACTGCTTTTTCCTTCAGCAGCCTCAGACCTCAGACTCCTCCAGCTATTGATTTCCCTTTCTTCCCCTCTTCAACCTCTTACTGATCCCTGGACTGTCTTGTGGAGTGCAGACATATACTAGCCTCTTCCACCCAGCCATCACCTCTATTGCCTTATGTTCCAAGCTCTGCTGCTGCCACCTCACTCGCTGCTCCCAAACCCACCTCAGTATCACCTCTCCTGCTCACATATTTCTGGGTTATATTGTTCAGGACGCTGTAAAGCCACATATATCCCTATACAGGCATAAAAGGGTAACATCAAAAAACTAATTTTCTTCTGTTCTGTCTTGTATTTTGTCTCAAAGGGGAGGGGGAGGGGGGGACGACAACACGACACTTAATTAAACACACATTAGTTTGTTTGCTACTTAACACCTCCATTTTTAAAGCCCCATTTTCAATGATGTTCTAAACAGCTCCTTTGTGTTGCCACATCCAGACTGTCTCCTGCAGGAGTCTTCTCTGACAGAGTTAACTACAAATAAATCTTGAGTGCCTATAAGTATACCTAATTTTTCGTATTTAGTGCTGTCTGGCTCTACAATACAGGTTCGAAAGTACAGTGAATGGTCTCCAAATGACAGGCAATATCTTCTAAGGAAAGCATGTCTTTGCTCTGAGTCATTTTACCCAGACCAAGCATACCTGAAATATTAAAGAAACTACATTTAAGTCTGCAGTCACTTTCATCTCCCTCTGCACTGGTACATAATGAGAGAGCCCATTTCCTATGAATCTGCCACAATGAATCTAAAATCCCTGCTTCCAACAAAGCAGAGAAATAATGCAGCTGTCTTCCCCATAGTTTCCCAGACAAAGTCTCTGATGTCCTCTTGTGCCAAAGACCTCCCTGAGTCACCACTTACAAGAAAAGCAAAATTACCTTTAGTGACCAGCCTTGATTTGCTGCTCTCAGTTATGAAAGGTAACACCTGTATGTAACCAGTAACAGCTGCCCAAAGCCAGTACTTCAATGCTGTATGCATTCTGCATTTCTTTTCTATCTTGTTAGATAAGAAAAGAAAAACTGGACAAGAACCAAGTCAAAAGGTCTTGTGTGTTAAATAAAAGATGAGGGAGTTATGAATTGCAAAATCAGAAGGGAGGGGAAAAAAAACCCTTATAAGCAGGCTTCCTTCACAGCAGTTTAGAAAACAGCAAAAGTATTACAGCACTGAGAACTAGCAGGTGCTTTGCCACTTCAAAAGAAGAGAAACTGTAAGGAGGAGGGTTTCTGGGGGGGATCAGTTCAAAGAAAATGAAGGGTTAGATAAGGCACATTTCAGGAAGAGACTCAGTTGTGGAAAACTGTTATTCACGATACAGGTAAATGGTGAAAGCACTCTGCAGCTAAACTCTCCCTGAAGGGCTGATTTACAGGCAGAGCAGGCGTATCATCTCCCACTGATGCTAAGGTGGCAGCAGCAGTGACTGGGAACAACCATGAGCTGGGCCAGGCCACACAGGACCATCCTGCTGCAGAGTCTGAGGGCACAGACCTGCAACTAATTTAACTAAAGGAAAAAAGGTTCTCCAAGTGATGCATCAAACTAAGTCTTGGGCAATTCTGGCCATCTTGGCAGTACTCAGATGAGACTAAAAAGGTAGAATGGTGTTTCAGGCAGTAATTATGAGAGAAAATACACTGAGAAACACCAGATAATGCTGCCATGGGACACAGTTTTAAAGAGAATAAGCCAGTAAATTGCTAGTTGTGTCTAACATACATTTCCCTAGCAGGGCATACCAAGTACTAGGAGGCTCCTCTAGCTTAGGTCACACATTCATTCCTCTCTCATGGCCCCCCTGCTTTCCATCTGAGCAACAGCTCCAGTGCAATGCTATCTTGTTTTGAAAAGCTGAAAAGCCTCTCACATACCAGTCACCAGGAAACACAAAAAAGCAGTTGTAAATCTTCAAAATTAAGAAACAAGCAACCAATGCAGTGACAAGATAGCAGCAATACAAGGTCAAAGTCACAAAAGAAATGCAATGACTTCAACGTGCTCTTCTCTTTCTTTCCTGCCCCCCTGCACCCCAAAATCTCACTTGTATTCACACTCTTGCCAGTGTGGGCAGGAACATGCAGGGTGCCTCCTGGATGGCACAAGAAAGATATTCCTGCTCCTGACCACTGCACTGTTCCCTCTGACAGCAGTCAGGAAGGGTTGGGTTTTTTTCAACTCTAGGGTGTCCTCCAAAGATATTCTGCTTGTGTGGAACCAGCTTGTCTTATGCTATGGCCCAAACTGCAAAAGTAAAAATTGTGTGCAATACCTATTTGCACTTACAGCTCCATACAGGCCAGAGGGCTAGCCACTCTCAGACAGATGTATGAACATTTATGCACCCAGTATACAGTGTTTCTGTCTTATACAATACAAATCTAGGAAGGACAAAAGGTAAAGAAATAACAGAAAGCAGCTGCTTAAAAGAAAAAGAGTCATGATATTCTATGATTCTATAATCACAAGAGAAAGAGGCAAGACTAGGATACAAGCGATGGACAACTACAGAAAACTGAGGACAAACAGGCAGAATACCACAATGAGTTGAATGATAACGGTTGTACAAGATGGTATTAGTGAAGCGCAGGTGACACTTCTAGTCAGAACTGGACATCTCAGTGCAGAAGGGAGAGATAACAGGACATGCTGGGTTACTTACATGGGGCATAGAACATCATTAGAAGGGGTTTGTCTTCCTTCTTCAGAAGCCTCCTCAACTCCTAGTGAATGAACCAAAGAAAATAAAACCAGAGCTGTACCCAAGCACACCTCTTACTTGTGTTACAATTTTAAGAACTAGAGAAGGCTCGGAGGGATGTTATCACTATGTGTAAATATCTGAAGGGTAGATGTTAAGAGGATGGGGCCAGGCTCTTCTCTGTGGTACCAGGCAATAAGATGAGAAGCAACAGGCATAAACTAAAGCACAGGAAGTTCCATCTGAATATGAGGAAGACTTTCTTTACTGTGAGGGTGACGGAGCATTGGAATAGGTTGCCCACAGAGGTCGTGGATTATCCTGCTCTGGAGATATTCAGGAGCCGTCTGGACACAATCCTGAGTAATGTGTTCTAGGTGACTCTCCTGGAGCAGGAGGTTGGACTAGGTGACCTCCAGTGGTCCCTTCCAGCCTCAATTGTTCTGTGGAAAGTTATAGATTTGAGTATCTGCTAAATATCCTAGATCAGCATCTTCACTGCTGAGATGTGGAAGTTGCATGGTTTGGTTTAGTCTCACTGCAGAAACTCTGACTGGAAACTTTTTCTTCCCTGACGCATCCAAAAAGCTATACTCTAATTCAAAAAGTCAGACTCAATAATAAGCAAAACAAATTCAGTTTTCACACTATGAATCCTTGTTGAAGCTATGAGAAGCCATAAGAAAAGACTTTTCAGTAGCAGCATGATAGAGAAACCAGATGAAGTTTTCAAATTGATTGCAACCCTTGGAAGGCTTATAATAGAGTACAGAGGGTGAACATTAAAAATTAATCTTCCTACAAAAACTGAACGTCAAAATAACTGTTTCTAATATTAAAAATGAAAGCAAGAAAATTGAAAAGCCCTTTACAAAATACCAGCTAGAGTCCAATCAATTAAAGCTTTAAAATTCTCTAGACTAGAAAACTAATATGAAAGACCTAGCTGATTATATTAGAATATAATGGGTAGCTCTGTGGTGGCACTGGCTTTTGAAGGTAGTTTCATCGTATTTGCTGCTTTGCCACTTAACACCAAGAGGACAGTTACAGTACAAGGTTAAATCTCTCAAGATCCTGCTCCTGACTTCCTGACTTTCAAGGTTAAATCTCTGGATCCTGCTCCTGAATCCTGCTCCAGACTTCCTGTGACAATCTCAGGCACATGAGGAAACCCAAGGTTTAACAACAACCTGCAGTTGTAAGAGCAGCATTTTACCTCTTACTTGCATCGTGCAGTGACTGCATCTTGCAAGCTACTACACTTGCCTGAGACAAACAGGTCTCTTCTGCCACACCATAAACAATGCTTTGATACTTGCCATGTAGCTAGCAGACTAATATCAGAACCACATGTAGGGGAGAGGAAGGCAGGAAGCGGGACACTTTATAGTTACAGCACTCCACAGACTTCATGAAGTCACTTAAAACAGTTTGGGTGCTTCAAATTTCTCTTCCAAAGAAAGGAAATAATGGTGCTTTGTTAAGTGTTAACATAAAACCCCACATTTCCTTTATCCCATATAACATACATAGGACATCTATCCAGCTAATGTACCTTTTCACTGTCAACATGTACAACATCTTTGGCTTCGGGATCCTCCTCCCACAGTGGAGCACCTTCTGGATCCTTCAGAAAGGCCACCATAGACTGTAAGAAACAGGGGGAAAAAATCTTTAGAAGCAAAATGAATGGAAATGATGAGACATCCAATCTCAAATCCATGCTGTCATGCAAACCCCATCCAATTAGTCCCTTTGCTTTTCTGCTCATATACTCATCTGCTCTAACGCTAATAAACACAAATCTCCAGTTGCAGCACCAAGTGATACATGGGTGTGTAACTTCCCCGTAACTAACATCCCAACTTACCAGTTCCCACTTCCACCATAAAACTGGGGAAAAGAGTGGAAGTATAGAGCAGAGTATATACTAACACATGCCAAGAATATCCATCCAAATGCCTAGGCTTGCACTCCTCCTTCTCAAGAGCAGGTTAGCAGCGCATCTGGTGACATGTGCCACCGAAACAGTCTCAGAGATACTTTTGCCACCTCCCTGCCCTTGGTAGGGCTGCTCTGGTACAACATCCCAGCAGCTTATCAACAGATAGCAGGGTTCAGCTCATTTTCCTGCATCTCAGGTGGTACTGCAAGGCTCAGGAGAATTCAGAGATTATGGCAGGATCATTTATTGCATTTATGTTTCTGTCTGCTTGCACAACTAATATTGAAGAGATTTCTCTTATCACAAGAGGCAGCATATATTACATATGTACACAGTAAGAAAGCCTAAGGGGTGAGGAAGTAATGTTGGGATTACAAACACTTGAAGGGGAAGAAATCTGTTTTAACACGGCATTAGCAGAGAAAGGAGCTAGCTAGGAAAAAAAATTAAAATTAAGTAATTTACAATGGAGTTACAGTTATAAAAAGCTCAAAAACTAGAGGCATTACGAAAATAATATATGGGGAAAGGAAAGAAGAGGATAAAACAGTGGAGATGTTCTACATTTAGGAAAGCTACATCAAGTTCTGCTCATTCTCAGTGTGCACAGACTGCAAACATACACTGGAGGGGATGAGAGGGGGGTCAACATTTTAAATAGCTAATGACTGCAAGAACTCCTGCATGCCAAGTTCAGTCATGCAGAAACAGAGGTGGTTAGTGGATGGGGGATTAAAGAGATTTAATTCATCCAGCCTCTCCCCCTGAGCCAAGACAGAAAAAAAATCAGAAGTATTCTGGCAGAGCAGGCAGTACATTGCCTTGCATTCATTGCTCCATGAGGTGAAGAGAACTTCCCACGTGCCTTTAAATAACTACCCCTGCCCCAGCACCAACAAACCACAGCACTTCCTAATCACAGAAAAGCAGTGGTCCCCAAGCTGCTGGGTTAGAGAGCAGAGCAAGGCCCAGGCCACAGCAGCCCCCAGGCTGAAGAATCAGCTATGCTCTTGTCTTGCTATGACATGGTCAGGGACCTGCTTTGACTCAATGGCACTGACAGAGCCACGAAGGGCTGTAACCTGCTGCCCAAACCTCTTCAACAGCTTTGAACCTTAAACATTGATTCAGCAGAATACAGGACATGGCTCCATCCAACCTATGCTGCTAAAAGCAAGCTAGTTTTAACAGTATAATAGCTGGCTATAACATACGGACCTAGGTTTGAACTTGGAGGGAATATCTCTATATATACATACAGGCACTCCCTGTATATATATAGAGATACTCCCTGTATTTTTCAATCCTTTGAAGTAGAGATACTAGTAAAAATATTTGCCTTAATTTCACACACACACTCTTTAAAACAGCAAACTTGAAAAAGGATTCAGTGTTTAGAGCAGTACCAATTTACTGGATTAGTCTATTCCCCTTGCTAGCACTGAGCAGATTTGTACTTTAATGAGCACTGTCTCCATTTCAGAAGGAGAGTAAAACTCTCCCTGTATATTATCCTCCAGAAAAGGCTTCATCATGTAATAAACACAGCCTGGATACTGGCCTTATAGCACTATCAAGGATTAGAACATGGTGTGGCTAAAGCAACATATGAAGAGACATATTGGTTAAGATCAAAGACTGATCTAAGCTTCAGTCTTCAACAGCAGCTTCAACAGACACACACGGAAAAATTATACCAGTACCATTTTTATATAGCATACACTGATACATGGTCTCAATTTATGGTAAAAAGTAATTAAGTCTATGGACTCTGCACCAGCTGTTGTATTTGGACCTCTGTGCTTACTAACTATCAATGGATCTATCCGTTATGACTATCTAAAACTGTTTTTAAGACTCCTAAATTCTCGGCTTTCACAACATGTACCTATGAGTCTTATAACCTTCTTTTTTTTTTTTCCTTTTTTAAACACTACAGTTACTTGTTTCCATCCCAAAATGCCACGGTTTGCACCCAAGTTTGAAGAAAAAAATAGGTAATCATTCCCTTTGTCAAGGTACACACAGTCATAATCTCCTCAGATTGTCCATTTTTCCAAGCCCAAGAATCTTCATGTAAATATTCAGGCCATCCGTGCCTCTGATCACACTCACTGCCCTTCTGCAGTACTTCTGCATTTTTCAGTTGATGGCACAACCAGAATCACATACAAGACACAAAATGAAGGAACCCAGTGGACTCAGATGGTGGAATAACATTTCCTCTTCCATTCTCCGTTCCTTTCCTAATAATTTGACTTTTAAATACTGGTAAGCACAGAGCCAACCCTGTAGAGTGGTAATTCAAAACCCATTACAATAGTCTGCATTACTCTAGCATAGTTGTAGCTGTGTCCTTTCCTTCCCTCTCATGTTCATTACCCCACAAGCTCCTCCTTTCATACTGACACTTAGCATTGTGAGAACCTAAACTCTCTGCAAAGAGTTGGAAATACTTTTTTTTTAAATTAATCCTAATAATTTTGCATCACCGAACTTTGTTATCTCGGAGTCCACCTCCCCTTACCAGATAGCCCAAACAGCTCTGATCCTAACACAGGTTCCAGCAGCAAGAGGTTCTGACTGCTGACTAACTTCCCCCCACCTTGAACACTGATCCATCCTTTATTCCTCATTTTTCTCACAGTAAACCCACAAGGGCATCTCTGCTAATTACATAAGGATTTAGTTAATTTAAGAAATGAAAAGCTTTCTGTAAAAACCCAAGTACACTATCAGCTGGATCAGCCACATCTATGAAATTGCCGATTACTTTAGAAGAATCCTTTTACAGTTCTTCAGAGCTGTGTCCATCATCCTCCAAAATGTCATACATATATTAATATGTCTACTGGATGCCTGGAAAGAAGATCCAAGTTTTATTGCCACAAGCTTGCTGAATGATGTGAAACAAATCCTTTAATCTCCCTGTTCTTCAGTATGTCCACCTGTCCGTAAAATGAATGATATCCTACGTAATTGTGTTGCTCTGCTGCTTGCTGTTTGTAATGTACTGGGAGATGCTTGACAACCACAGCTGAGAGAGAAAAAGAAAGGTCACTGCCTCAGCAGAAGAAAACGGGGAGAAGAAGTGGTTAGAGGGAAAAATACAGAAAACATTCAGGCAGCTGTGAGCAGCAGAACAAGTATTTGACCACTGCCCAGCACTGTACAACCTATAAATCATTAGCACCTGGTTTCACAGGGGCAGTTATATTACAAAAGACTAGAACTCCTAGAGCAAGGGAACTGCAAAACCCTCCTTCCACCTGCACTGGAATCCTGTAGCCCTTTCCACTGGATGCTGCTTCCTTCTCTCCAGCAGGCAAGGCAAAAGGGAAGTGCTCATCACAAAACAGCAACTGAAGGAATAAATGGTATGGTTCCTGTTTTGCTATGCTTGCCTCTCAAGTCAACACTCCATAGGACTCTGCAGGTGCTTTCCCATTGATCCCATCTATAAGGAGGAGTCACAGCACTAACTCCTGGTTGCAGCACTTTATAGAGGGCAGGAAAGACATGTCATGCATTGTTTAAACCATCCAAATTTAGGCAACTAACAAGTCTCCCTCACTCCACCATCCACCAAGAGGGAAAAGAATTTACTGGGTACCTTTCCTCACTAAATACTGAAGAAGCTTCAGGCACCCGCTGACTAGGCTGAGTATGTAACACTGTTCTTGCAGGCAAGATTTCTACTGCAGGAGATGGGAAGATACACAGTCCTACTCTCCCACCACAGGCAAATCCTGCATGACGACCCCAAGTGCAGGCTGAATGGATGCTTGAAGCCAGGGCTTGCTTCCAAGACAGCCCCCCGTACCCCCAGATATCTCACAACTCTGGCTGCAAAAGGAGCAAGTGCGCTTAGAGACAGCCACTCTGACAGACTGAGGTTCAGCATCTCACAGAGGCTTTCCTCCATCCCAAACCAAACCTCTGAACAAGCACGAAAGGGGAAGAAAATGTAATAACGTTGGTCTGGAGTAGTGTCAACAAGCCTCCACAAGACCAATGATGAAGCAGGGCCCAGGTTTGCTGGAGGAAGAAAAGAAATGGGAACTGGGTATCAGAGCTGGACAGAGCAGTTTCTGGAAGCCAAGCCATTGCAGGGTTGCAACCTCAGGTGAGGATACTCCCAGGGCTTCGCAGAGGAAGGCTGCACAATTTCAGCCTGTTTACTGTGCTTTCAGTCCACCATTTCTACAGTCCTCAGGATTACAAACTTGTTTCATGTTTCATGTCTTCTTCCTTCCACTGCCCTCACAGAACATTGCTTTCTGTTGCTGTGTGTCAAGGTTTGCAGAAGGAAGGTTGTTTTATCCCTGCTGTACTCAGAGCACTTCTATAGGAACTGTGGTTCCATAATCTGGTAAGACCACTCAGCTCTCTTCAAAAAAACCTCACAGAACTCCTTATCAAAATGCAGTATCAGCTAATACTTTTAGTTATACTGCCATTAACAGCATCTGGTAATCAAAGCAAGAAAATCCCCATTTGTTACCAGCCTGCACATTAACTCACAATTTACATTACTGTTCAACATGGGTTCTTTTTAAACAATGTGCAGTTGGCAGACACATACACACACAAAAACCTTTAGGTCATTCTGACAGCTGTTTATGAAGATTAACCCCTTCCCTTTCATGCCTTCAGCGTGTACCAACACCTGGTTTTAATCCACAAATGTCTCCCTCATATCTAGCAGAAAAGAAATAACAATAATAAAAGATTTAAATTTACCTTCAGTGTGACCGCTCTGTTATACTCAGTATGAAATGCACCGTCTCTGTTGAACAAGCAGTGGGGAATAGTGTTAATTTACAGTTCCATTGCCAGAAATCATGTAGCTGCTCTCACTCCTCACTAACCAGAACAACATTTTCCTGCTAAAGCCACAGAACTAAGTAGAATTTACAGAACAGTAATTTCAGTGGGGAAAAAGAGTAAGGAAAAAGGGAGAGTGTAAAACAGGGTGTAAAGCAAGCAGGTTTCTAGGAAGTAATTTCCTCCCCAACACTTTATCAAGAATATTTCCTAAAGCATGATCTTTGGAGATGGAGATGCAGCCAAGTGGTGTCTCCTACACTTAACAGTACTCCCACTCCTATTACTTCCAGGAAGAAAACCTCTTGCTGTCTTACTACACTTGCCTTTCTCCGCTTACTTTATGAAGTACTATCTCAAGTCAGAAAAGCAAGTACAGACAGATAGAGCGACTTGCCCCAAGGCACATGCTAGCCAGCATGTGTCAGAGAAGGTAAGAAAGCTCGAATCTCATGCATCAGCCTTGTGCATCGGGTAGTTTTAGTCCATTGGACATGTCTTCCAGGCTGCACTCATGCTTTTAGTGTACTCTATTCAACAGCAGAATAAATTTATCTCAACTTCTGTCACAACACATGCTTTCAAACTGAAGAAACGGCAATCAATTTCTCATGTCAAAGGATAAAAAATAAGAAGTACTCATACAGCAGTATGGAGCTGCAAGTAGAATTAATGGTCCTAACAGGGGCATCAGCAATTAGGAATTACAAATCCCAGCCCAGCACTCACTTATAATGGAGTAATTCCACTCCTTTCTCCTTTGAATTAGGATCTACTTTCATCTTCTTGCATAATTTTCGGCTTTCAGTATCACTGCAAAAAACACATATTGGAAGAAAAATGGTTACAAGAAAGGAAATCAAATGCATTCAGTTGTGAAAACTTATTGCTGTGCTTCCTCATCAGCAATTAGTTGCAACTAACAGGAATTTGGAAGCTGTTTAGCTAAGTTTGTGGGACAAGCACTGTGGAAAGCTGCATTAACCAATTTTATTTCTTCTTTTGCTTGGTCAGGACACAATGAACTGTGTTAAAACCACATTTCAAACCCAGGCCTCAACAAGCAGAAAAGTAGCGCATTTTCACATGTCTGAGTACCTCAGCAAACCTTCTGTCCATGAGACTAACATAAAATTTAGGAAGTCAAGATTTTAAAAAGACCACGCTACTGTTAGGGTGGTGGTCAAAGAGCACTGTTTGTGAAAAGATTGAATGAGAAAGAGAAGGTCAGCTTTTACATTGGCAGAAAGGAACTCGGAACCAAAAAGAAACATCTTCATTGTATCTTGAAGCCCAGATCACAAGTGGCTAGCCTTAAAAAGGTCCTCCTGCAAAACACAAATACCAGCTCAAATTTTGGTGTCCCAAGCCCAGCAACTCCATTTATGCCAGGTATGAGGATGTGCCCTGGAGCAACACCTGGCCAGTGGACATAAAGACCATCTGCCACAGCTCCTGAAGAAGGAGGCATGTAACAGCAGACAGACCTGCTGGGGGTGGTTTTCAAACCAAACGAGAATGAATTGCTTCCAGCACCTGATCAGCCTGAGTTGAAAAAGAGAGAAGGGTCACAGGAGAAAACTGCACAAACTTTTGCTTAGGTGGGCAGGTAAAGGGTCTTTATGGCCTAACTGCTGTCCTAAACAATGCAGAAATGAAGCTATAAGGACACTTCAAGCTGAAGTAAATACAAAGTCAGTCAAAGACTTGGAAAAATGAGTGAAACAGTACAATTACAAAGAAAAGAGGATGATTCACATTGACAAGACTCTTCTTTGCATTGACGAACAGCAAGATTAAAAAGCTTGAAAACTTGTTCCCAGCAGAGGACAACTTGTACCTTGTACGCAGATAAATCAATTTAGAAAATGAAAACACTGAAAATCCATCAAGTTTAAACTGATTAGAGACACATTAGAGAAACCAAGATGCAAGGGTTGCAAGAGCCCCACCAAATTAAGTGCTGCTGCCAGCAATGGTGCTAATACTCCTGATGTTCTCCAGCTGCCTTTCTGCAAATGTGAGGAACAATAACCGGTAAATTCGCAGTGCGCTGCAGATGAGAGCATGTCTTTGTGGAAACTTCCTAAATGCTTACTGCAGACAGAAATGAGGAGGAGCATGCTATCAACACATGCATCAAAATCAGAGTATTATGCTGAAGACTGAAACAAGCATTTTAAGGAAGTAACAAAACATGCAACAACCTCACCAGGAAGGATCACCTATAATCCCAGTTGTATAGAAGCATGTTTATCTGCAGTCTTACTGAATTCATGACAGTTCTGCATTCTCAGCTCATTGCCAAAGCTAGTCACTGTAACCTGCAAATGCTTCTTCAGCTTCTCCAGAAGGCTGGAGATCTGAGCCTGAGAAGAGTTATTTTCCTGTTGTCTGCTTCATCTTTGTTTTTCCCAGATGGCAGTGGAAGGCGGAGCTAAAAGATGTCATCTGTTCACTGAGTACCATGAACATGTCTCCTTGTAACAAAACTAGATTACAAACCAAAAAGCCTGGATTCGAAATTTTGCTGAAAAGCTGGTTTGCAGTGTGGAGCCAGCACAGGAAATCTGCAGCAACATCAAACCTATGGGTAAGATACATCCTGTGTTCTCTCACCTGCAGTCTTCCAATGGTCCCATGGGCTACACCTGAGCGACTCAAAGGTCAGGGCATCTCAGGAGGAGGTACCAGTTCCAGATCACCCTCCCATCTTACCCCAGACAGATCTAAAGGCACAGAGAAGCTCTTGTGGCCCTGCTGGAGCTGACTGTCAGACAGCTAACTAGAGTCAGACCGTACCACAGTCAACATTTGTTAATGCTCTTCTCGACGCTCCAGAACGTTTCCAGGATACGCATATATTTGTTGCCATCTCAGCCTTGCCAAGACAAATGTTGGGCTGTTGGCATGAATGAGCGTAATGCTGAAACCTACCTCCAGCAACAGGGGTCTGTCAAACCCCAAGATGTGCAGACCAAAGTGAGCATGAAGACAGTTCTGTGGCTAGTTCTACCATCAATTTGACGAAACTTCAAACCACGTGAGGAAAAATAAAAGTGTCATTTTTCCATATGGGTCATTTAGAGATCCAGATACTCATCTTAGAAAAGTTCTGCCAGGTTTATAGTGGCAAAAGGCTGCAAAACATTATTAATGAGATGTACCTGTGAGCAAGCAACTAGCAACTCCTACTACTCCAACTCCTACCAACTGATCTTCTGTTACTACTGAAAAAAAAAAAAAAAAAAAAAAAAAAAAAAAAAAAAATAAAGAAAAGAAAAGACGAACTTCTGTTTCACTGGACGGAAACAGGATCTAAGCCTGCCCCGCTTTCCGGATTGCTCCATGTGCATTGCCTGAATGCACATCCATTATCCCAGGAAACAAAGCAGCAGTTTGCTCCAGTATGTCTCTTACCATTTAGTGGGCAGATTCTCTGCACCGCTGCACTGGGAGTTTAGTCTGTTTACGCAAGCTATCTGCACTGATGCAAGGGATTGAACAGGAGCAAATTCCCAGAATACGAAGTGTCTAAATACGTAATTTTTTCATGCATCAGTGCAGATTTTTGCACATGCCAGACCCACCAGCTCAGTTGCTATACTAACAATTCTGCAGAAAAGCAGAAAAGGAGACATACAGAAATGGCAGAAATGGACCTATTCTGCTTCTCCTTCTTCTTTCACAGCCAGACAAAAATAACCTGCAAAGAGCAAACTGCTCTGATATCACTTGGTAATGACCATTATCCTTAATAAGAGTAAATATCAACACAGATGGAGTCTCTGTGCTGAGATTTGTCTCTTTTGGATCTCAGCCAACAACCTCTCTGAAGATGAGCTCCTCAACTCTCACATGGGAGAGGGTAATTAGGACTCCAGTTCTTACAATTTGATTATACCACTTGAAGAGGCAGTGTGTTTATTATAAAGACTAAAAGAAAAAGGGGGGGGATGGGGAAAAAAACCCATCCCTAAACCTAAAAAGCCAGAATCCACCCCAAAACCAGCACTCCGCTACCCAGTCCAAGACACTCCAGACAAGGCACCAGGTGGTCTGAGGATGAGGTCAGTAATGTCCCCCAGCAGCCATCCTTGGCTGCCTCATGCCATTTCTGCCCAAAGCAATTTGAACCCTTGCAGGTCTCTGCTGTGCTACTGCTGAAGGGACCCCTGCTTTACTTGCAGGCAGTCATACAAACCATCCAGCTGCAGCCCTGCGGAAAATCATCCAAAACAGCAACCTATATGCAATATCACCAACAACCTACCAGCACCTGTCCCTGTGGTAATAAGGTCAAAACTTCAGTGGCACAACAGCATGGCATGTTCCCTATGCTCCCTCCCCCTTCCCACAAAACCAAACTGGGGCTCCAAAACTCTCCTTTGCTGGACAAAGACATATGGCGGCTTGGTAAAAGGAGTGATAAAATGAAAGATCAAAATTAACCTAACTAAGCAAGAAGTCTAAATAACAATAAAGACAGCGTGCATCACAGCAACACTTCACCCCTTTCCATTCACATCCCCACCTCCTCTACTGGGAGACACTTCTGTTGTTTGGGATTACAACAGAGCTGGCAGGAAGCCTGACGAGAGCACTCTCTGTAAACCTCTGGGGTCCCTTGTCAGCATTAGCACGCATGAATAATCACTTTGCACAGGCAGCCAGCTGCTACCAGGGCAGGAGGAGGTTGAGGGGCTCATGAAGGACATCTGACCTCCTTTGGGTCACCACCAGTGAAGCCAGCACCTAAAGGGGACATGTCACAAGCATTCCTCAGGAGCACTGCAGGATGCTCTGCCTCTGCAGGGCTGCCCGCAGACCCGGGAGCTCGTGGTCATAAGGATGGAGAAACAGTGAGAGATACTGATGGCAGTCCCCAGTGGAAGGAGCAACCCAGCTAGACAGGAGGAACACAAAACAAATATAGGAGTCAGGCTGCAGGAAGTCCACACTGGTTTCTAAACACAAAGCAAGTTCAAGCTGGATGGATCCTGAGTAAGAAATGGAGGTGTCAGTGCAAAACATCCTCCTTGGGGTGAATTCAAATATTGTCCTGACAGGTCCTGAAGGCGGCAGAGTAAGACCAAACATCCTCAGCACCATCCTCTCTCATGGGCACAAATAAGATCTTCTGCAGCTCCTTAATTATCTCCCTTATCACATAATGCTGCCCATTGGCTTCTCATCAAGAAGGGAAAACAGCCTTACAACCACATCAGCCTCTGGGGAGGAAGGATCTGGAATGACTGTCAAATCCCCTCTTAGGATATGACAAAAATGCCATCCAAAAAAGTTCACGCCTCCAGTTGCCAACATAACAGCAGCATGTGCATGTACTGTGCGACCGCATCACTTCAATGCCATGGTGCTGGCATCTACTAACACTTTCTAATGCAGACTGGACCCAGCCTTCTTTTTCATCCATACCTACAGTGTTCCCAGGCACAACAGAAGTAATTAATAAAAAACCTGCCAGCTGGTTTAAGAAAACATAAGTAACCAGGTCAGTAAATCTGCTTGCACAAGAACAATCTCACTCCTCTCATCGGTCTAACATGTAACCACACATAAACCACAGACCTCACAATCTGTAAACAGATTTTATCTCTTCTATCTGTACATCCGAAAAAGGGCTCAACAATGCACATGAATTATGATTCAGCAGTTCCTTTTATCACAGTTGCACCTGTAGACCCAAAACAGTGGAGACTCTGTTGTATCAGTGGCTGTACGAACACTGTCACTCTCCCAACAGCTGGAAGAGACATGACTATGCAGGTAAGGAGGTGGAACAGGCTCTGAGA